TTTGGTCAACGGAACGACCACGTAACAAACCATCCGTTGTTTCAGTCTGAAGGACATCTCAATATGAGCCATATAGACTTAAAGAATTTTTCTGCACTAGCGATCTTTCACCGTCTATGAATTGATTTTGCTCACAATCAGAGAACACTCAGAGACCTAAAAATCGCATTGTTATCGGAAATAGTCATGAATGAATCGATAGCTTTTACCTGATTTAGCACCTGACACTCGCACAGTATCAAACAAGATCCGAAAATGAGTTAGTGAGGTGTTATCAATGAATTTATAGTAATGCTAAACTCTAACATCCTATTATTTATGATAATGATCAGGACGTAATGTCTCAAACTACAGCAAAAGGACCCTCAAATTACCGAGTAATGATTTGTGTGTTTCTTCTGTTTGTGGTAAAGTCAGCATCAGTTATACGATTCTGTTTTCTGATGTTGTTTATTGGTTTCACTTTTTTGAGTGATAATTTGTGAAATAATCGTAACTGAAATAATAATAATCGAAACATACACTCACATTTCATTTGCTATTTTTTCACGTGTTGCATTTAGAGTTGAATTTCTCGACGATGTTCGACAGTATTCGAGATGTCCAAAAACTTCGAACGTCTGGCTGTTGTTTCAGTCTACTTGACCAATTCATGTGAAATGAGTTCAGGTGCACGTTTGCTAGCCGCCAAAAATGTCGGGTAACGTCACAGAACTGATCACTTTCAGTGACATATTCTTCGGAGATGAGTGGAATGTGAACAGGACTATTGCGTTCATGGCATTATGGGTGCCCACCTCATTCAAGGTATTTCACCAATTTGCATGCTGAACGTTTCAAATCTGATGATTTATATTGGAAGATCTGCTGGCCTGATCTCAAATATTGACTCACTGTTAATCATCAAAAGTCAATTCTCGTTTAGACTTTTAAATCAGCATATACGTTCGAAATTATTGCTTATTTAAAAAGTTTCATTGCAGCGGTGGCATATTTTCAGATAGCAATTGCTTACTTGGCAATGGTCTATTTTGGGCAAAAGATGATGCGAAATCAAACTGCTTTCGAACTGGATCGACTTTTAGCCGTATGGAATTTCGCCTTCTCGATTTTCTCAGCGATCGCTGCTTATCATCTCATCCCGGAACTTATATGGTCGCTCAAAAACCTCGGATTTGTCGGTAAAATTCAGTATTTCGAAGCTCTTTTGTCCACCAACCAGTCTGTCTCTTCACTGCCACTCCCAAACAAATTTTTAAAAAAACTGTCCTAAGCGTGTGAGTAACGGATCAGATAGTTCTCATGTCGAAACCGGAAATTTTCCGCACCTTTTTAAGCGTTTGATTACGGTTGATCGGTGATCATCCAATCATGTACTTAACGTTTTGCACTGTTCCACTTCGTCAATCACATTGGTGCATTTGTTACATTTGTACTTAATCAATGAGCTTGTACTCAGTTAAGGAATTCAAAGTGAACTTATGCAAAATTGTTGCCACAATACCCTCGCAATGCCCGATAGTCCACTACAAAATGTTCACGAAATCAAAGAAAGCCAATGAAAAGCAAGCTTAATTTTCGGACTTTTTTGATGTTTACTATGAAGTGTATGGTGGTAATCGATCATAATCTGCTCTATTTCATTCATGAGTTGCATCATCAGGACACATATGTAATTATGCTTGAAAGGTGCATGTTTTGAAACTTACTCAGTTTCAAACTGAGAACATTTCAATCCAGTGTGACCTTATTGAGTGGATAGTTTTGCCGTATTCGTGTGAAGAGAACACCAGGCAACCTAAGAATTCCAAGAAAACTGGAATGCAAATGAAGACAAACA